TATGTTTCAGTTATATTTATTTCATGATTTCTCAAATCCACTATGTTCTTCTATGCCTCTGTTCCTGTGAGCATATTAGAATCTTGACCTAGACTGATTTTTGGGTTCCAGGACCTAATTTTGTGTGTCCCAATTTCAATGTGGGGTGTGTGTGTGTGTGTGTGTGTGTGTGTAGGCTTCCCTAAACAAACAAGTAATTCCCTGGACACTAAATGGGTGTCCTACAATTTAACTCAATTCTGATACTATCTAACCAGAGATGGCATCAGATTCCACAGGTTAAGGGTTCAGTCCTACAAGTCTTCAGACACCAGTCACAAGCCTAGAGTGTTATCTGTACTTCTAATCAACTACCTATAAATCAGAGGTTCCCACGATCCCCTCCTTGGGTTTGATTAATGTCTTAGGTTTAACTTTTATAACTCAGGAACAGCCAGATGGAAGATGTGCATAGAGCAAGGTATGGGAAAAGGGTGCTTCTGAGCTTCCATGCTCTCTCCAGGCACACCATCTACCCACATCTTCCTGTCTTTACTTACCAGAAAGCTCTCTGCATTTTTATGGATGCTTCATTACATAGGCATGATTGATTAAATAACTGGTCACTGATGTTAATTCACCTCCAGCCCCTCTCCTCTCCCTGGAGGTCAGAGGGTGGGACTGAAAATTCTAACACTGTAATTACCTGGTTGGTTCCCCTGACAACCAGCCCTTGTCCTTAGATGGGATCAAAAGTCACCTCTTTAACATAACAAAAGAAACCTTTATAACTCTCTTCACTTAGAAAATTCCAAGGATTTTAGGAGCTCTCTGCCAGAAATGAGATGAATACCAAATATATACTTTTTATTATAAATCATATTATCCCAACTGCTAATCCTCTTTGGTCTGCTTGATCAACTCCTACTATTCTTTCAAGACCCTAGTCAAACGTTCCTTAGGAAACCCATGCTGACATAGAACAAGACAAATTTGGTTCCATGTTGTTTGGGATTTCCAGAAAATGGTTTATACGTTTCTATTAGAGTTTCTTCCCATGTTTTAATGATGTGCTAATAAAACTGTCTTTCTAGAAGAGAAACTATGAAATACACGTGAGTGCAGGAATTTTATCTTATTACTTGAGATATACTGTGTAGTGCCTAATTTAATACATGGCTCTTGTTTGGCTAACAAAAATGTTGAATGAATGAGTGAAATTTTCTTATAGATGCACCTGGGAACAGTAAATTATTTTGTCTGAATCCTAAATCATGTGTTATAAACATAAGTGGACACATTTCTGTGCCCTTAAATTTGGTCAATTAAACACATATCAAGAACAGCCAGGTCACTGCATGAAAAAGATTAAATATTGAAGACCTTTATTATAAATTCACTAGAGTTTTAATCTAATTTGCAGCATTCAGATGTGAATGTATCATTGTCATATAATAAATCTAGGCAAAATCTCATCTCAAAAGAAAGTGCATATGTATCACCACCATCATATATCCCCTAGTAAAGTTTAAATATGGAAGGCATAGTAATGATGATTTTTTTCAAAAGTCCACAGATGTGCACTTTGATGTAATATTAGGAAGTTATTATTTTCCAAGTATGTTGGTAAGTTTTTAATAAACACAACATATATGTATACTATAAATGTTCAATCTGTATTCACTAAAGGTGCTCAATTTTAGATTGTAGAGCTGTTTTTGCTCAGTCCTATAAAAATGAAAAAATATTTAGGGAAGAAAACAATGTTCATTCTTGCAAGATTAATTATCTAGTAAACTATCTAATTTCTCTTTAATTAAACATAAAATTGTAGCTGCCACAAATTACTTTTTCTAGTGAATTTTGCACAAGAGAAAGTATACAAAGAATATTCACTAATAACGAATTGAATGTTCTATTGAACAATGATATACATGGTCAACTATTATATAACATGAACAGTGATATAACATGTTCAAATATTATAGCAGAGAATAAAAATATAGCAAGGATTTTTTTTTTGAGGGGGAGTTCTTTTTTGTTTGTCCTTATAGAATTTTGTGTGGCTATTGCTTTAGAGCAGCATGATCAGAAACCATAGCATTAATCATGAAGAATTATATAATCAAGGTCTGATATAGAAATAAACATTATACATGGACATATACAATCTGAAAAAATAATACATGAAATAAGTAGCAAGAAGCATATACCCAGATTTTATCAGAAGTCTGAAAATGTTGGAGATGATTAAATGATCTTTTGAATTACTAAGATTAAAAATAGCAGTAAAGCATTAGGGAAGGTTTGCAAAATTTCCATTATTATGACACTTTCCCATTACTCTGAATGTTTCGCAAAATGCCAGCAACCATTATTTGCATGAAATTCTAAACATAGAGTGCCAGAAAAAGTAAATAAATGTTAGGCACCTCCCACGTATGCACAATAACTAAACGTTAAACTAATTTCTTAAAAACAATTATTTCTTTGCTATTCATATTTCAGATGAATTTAGCAAAAGGCTTTCAAAATAGCTTCAGTTTTTATGCCCAGCTATATGACCTTAAACTTGATGAGAAGTAAAAAGTGTTTTCTTTCAATTCCCAAAGCTGAGCTTTGAATATATCAATGGCAAAGCCTGAAGAGGTAGACTGCTTATGCCATAATCCACTGAGTGGGGAATATACCACAACTGTTTTCTTCCCTGATGTCTGCATACCTAAGACTAAATTCTAAAAAAAAGCAAAGAAGAAGGAAAACAATATTTTTTTTCTATAAAGAAACTTTTTTTTCTAAAGAGATTGAGTTATAAGTCAAAAGAGATTGAGTTTCTTAAATTGGCAAGATTAAGGTTAGCTACTGACTGTATATGAGTTCAGAGAGTTAAACTAAGTTTAATTACAAGAAAATAAGTTTCAATTTTTGCACACTTGGAACTATAGCTATAAATTTAAAACTCACTATATAGGCAACTACACAAATGTTCAATGAATAAAAACAAACATGCTAATTTTTCTTTCTCTCTTACCAAAAACATAAAATTAAAAACAAATGGAATGCACCAATATATAAGTTAACTTTGTGTATCTACTTAAAAGTGCTCAAAATTTCTCTTTGGCAAGAATTTGATCATGATGATTGGTCTCCAAATTAACTGATGTCCTGCATAAAGATCTAAGTGAGAGCTATTTTGAGAACAAAGAGCACACATGTTGCTAAATGGAAAATGTTTTTAAATGCCTTATTCCTTTTTTCTTATCCTTAAAAGTTCTTCTCTGTCTCTTCTGTACCTAAGTAGTACTATGTGTTAGAAAATATACAAGGCACAATCTCTGTTTGAAAGGATTTACAACCTAATAACCTAGTACCAAGAAAGAATTGTTTTATTTTATTGTTCTTTATTCTTTCTAAAATGCAACAGTCAAAATTATCACCATTTTATAATTTTAATGAAGTTTTATGAACTTTTATCTCAAAAGTTTGCCCAGTTTATCTGCACTGTAAATTGTTTATTCTTCATTGGACTTAAAGCAGCTCAAACTTACCTGACCTACCTCTGACAATAATCAAAAGGAAAAAAAAGTTCAAGATTTCTATTTCTAAACCAGTTCTTTATTAATCATACTTATAGGAACTCTGCAGTACTTATGCGAACACAAATCTATAAAAATAAAAATCACTAAAGCCTTCATATTTCTTTTAGTGTGTCTCAAGTAGGCTCTTATAACAGTTTCCTCAGTGAAGTAGTTAAAATTTATCAAAAGCTGAGAAATAGGCAAAAGGTACTATCACTTGTCCTGTCCTTTCAATGTGTTGCTGGGCAGACAATGTGAATCAGGCCTACCTGGCAGATATCTAATTCTCAGGA